ACTGGTTAGCAAGATGCTTTTGAACCTTCTGCCACAACAATCCCGCCCCCTTGATAATCAACCAATCACATTCACTTAATTCACTCGTGTAAAGTCGGGCACCACTCGGGAGAATTTAAAAATGCAACGGTTGGAACGGCCGCTTATCTACGACTTTAACTGTAATTAGACCCAGAAACGTTTTAATGTTTTTACTTTAAGTTTTGCTCTTGATGCCTTGCAGCCAGAAGGTTTTTGGTTCAAATCCCATCATGGAGCCTGTTTGGAAACACCAGTTCTCTCTGGTTCCACCTGCTTCCTCCAACACTTTTACTTTAGTTTTACTTAAAGTATAAAAATAAAAGTAATGCAGGAAAAACTGTTAAGGCCAGAAGTTTTACTGCTCTACCCTATTAAAGGAGCATTTTTCTACAATTCTGGATGATAACTTCCTTAGAACTAATTTTCTTAGTTTTATAACTAATGGTAACAGAGTCACATTTAACTTTGCATCATTTTGAAAAACTATTTATTTTGGTAAGTGGTGAGCAACAAGTTGGGGCAGCACCGAGTCCATCCACAAAGAAATTAATTATCTGGATAAAAATAATTATTTTGATGGGTTTTTTTTTTGTTTGTTTGTTTTTTTTTTTTACCAACAGGTCATAATGGAAATGAGCTTAAATGAAACAAAACTAACATGCCTATTTTTAAAATATAAGGAGTAGAAAGTGAAAAGTTGTCTAAAAATTATTCCAGTAAAGCATAGATAGAGAACATTTCTACTTAAGTCAGGTAACGGAGTATTTGTTCTTTATTTTCACACCTCTGAATTTAAAACATGTTCTTAAAGGAGCTCTGTAACCCAGGATTAGTTTGATTTAAGATTAAATGTTTCAGATTAATATGCAGCACTTTATGCCGGCTGCTTTTCTCTAAATCTCATCTATTCTAAACGATCAGATCCGTCACTGAATGAGTCTTTGCTCATAAATTATGCAGCGATGCTTCAAAAGATGTCCTGCCAACAGATTTCACCAACTTGATGCTTTGTTTCCACTGGATGTTTTCACTAAAATAGATTTATTTGTATTTTGCAAAAAGACTATAATTTTTTTTCTTCCTGTTTTAGTTGTTTTGTCATTACAGACATTTAAATTCATCATTAGGAGGCAGAATGTGAGAAACTTTTTTTATGGTCACAGTAAAATGAAACTGCATCATAGTTTAATGAACACTTTTCATTTGAGCCTCTGCTTCAGGTCAGTCACAGTAGCTTATGTAAGAATTCACACTTTTCACATTTTTTAAATTCTTTCACCTTTTCATGGAACACCACTGAAGATATGACATCATGATGCCATGTGAGCTAGTCTGTGTTTAGCTTGCATAACTGATCTGTCTTCTTAAAGAAAAAGTCGCTCATATTCAGAATCCAAACTTCTGAAAGTTCTTTAAATCTGAAATGATTCCATCCTGTTCAATAAATGATCAGTGTTTTTAATTCAGAGTAATTTTCATGTGAATGTGCTTTACGACAGTGGCGTTGGATGTAGGAGTTTGCCCTGTAATCGGAGGGTTGACGGTTCAAGCCCTGACTC